CAAGCTGAGCTGAAAAATACAGGGCTGTGTGTATGTACTATGAGTACTGGCAGACTTGGATACATCTGACCTTAGCTGAAGAAAGGGGCTGCTCTTAGGGAAAGGCCCTCACAATTGAAGGGAGCAGATATAGAAGATGCGGGTAAACAAATCTATGACTTAGACTACAACATTTCAAAGGAGAAATACTTTTCCTTGGTTAACAGGCAAAGAACAGCATATTTTGGCAACACTGATAAGTGAGTAAAATTTCTGTGCACAATACAATGTCAATAGTAAAGGTAAATATAAATCATTTTTATGATAGATGCATCTAAAGGTATTGTACTGTTTGTTATTTTACTTTGATGCTTGTATTTCCTAGAAATATGCCTGAGCAGGAGATGCAGTTACTCATAAAATAGACAGATGATGTTCACTTTGTATTTCACAGACTTCAACGGCTTTCAAAGTTAAGAAAAGCTTACAGTTTTACCTAATTCAAGCACATACATGGAAATACAGTATCATCTTCTGTATCCACTTGAACTCTGTAAAAGCAAAAAGATTGCTAAATGATTTTCAGCATTTTGATACATAGCTCATTGCTAAAAAAAGTGGTTTAAGCTCCTCCATTAGTGAAGTTTTGTGAGTGGTAGAGAAATGTCACTCCATCTTTCCTTAACTAAAGTCAATTTATCCAAATTGTTATTGTCATGGCTTAGCCATTATATAATATCCTGGGATTTCAAAATACTCTGTATACATAGTACTCTAAAATGTCCAATCATGCAGATGTTGCCCTTGTAGAGTAAGACAACATGATTATCCTTTGCCATACATTCATATATTTAACTTTTAGCCATAATGATAGTTATGTTTGATGACTTGGAATCTGGATTTTGTATTAAAACAATAAGAGCAAAAAAGAAAATTTGAACAAACTTAAAGATAATTAATTGACTACAAAGAAATACTCAGCAGCTTTATACAAGTTTATCCAGGCAAGATTTGAACACAGTTAATTAACAGTGCTCTAACTTTTATAGTCTCCAGGCTTAAATAAATTATTAGGACAAAACCTAAGCTGCAATTTCACTTCTACAAGGTGCTGGCTTTCTTATAGCACCAGCCCAACAAGGATTTAGGTTTAGGTTTAAATTAAAAAAAAAAAAAAGAAAAAGAAGAGGTAAGTGGATCTGAATAGCCAATCCAAAACTTGAATCCATGTCCTTTCCTGTTCAAAGCCTCAGAAAGCTAAACTCCCCAGTCATGTCCCTGATTGCTCTGCTCCTAGGGGAAGCTATGCTTTTCTTCCTAACAGCCCCAGCATTTCCATGTATAAGCAAATAATTTCTTCAGATCCTGCTTATGCCCATGTGGAATCTAGAAACTAGACAGATTATCACTCTCTTTTCATAGGAGGCATAGAAAATAGACAAATTCTGAGCAACACTCATACATGTTAAGAGGATGTACTTTATTTTTTCTAAAATGTCATTTGAGCTGTTTTTATTTTTTAAATAGTACTCAAATTTTATATAAAAGCTTTGTGATTAGAGTGCATAGACAGTGGTGTGCCAGAATCAAATCCCTAAATATTCCGCCATCCATTAATGTGTTAAAATCACTAGCCTGGGTGGATTTATGCCACCCTGCAGTATAAAATGGGAAATTTGTAGACCCAGGAAGAGAGTGTGATGTAGTATACTGACTAGGATGACCATTCAGAGAGGAGAACTCTTAAGACTCTGCTCCCTGCAGCAAGCACTGGCTCTGCATTTTGTGTTTAACAGCCAGTGAATGACAAATAATTTGGCTGTGAAAACATCAAACAGTGTTCTCCTTCCTGGCTGAGTGGTTTTAATCCAATAGTTTATAAAAAGTAAGCAAATAACCTGTGGACACCGGCATGGACCCAAATGCTGTCTCCGACCTGTGGTCCTGGAACTGTACCTCAGTGGAAGGCAGAAGGAGAGGAGACTGAGGAGATGCCTTCTGTGAAGCAGGACTATTGCCAGTATTCCTAACTGAGAAAAATAAGGCAATAAAAAGATGAGGAATCACTGCACCAATCAGTGGACTACCAAATGCAAGACAAAACCAGGCACTGATAGCATCCACTTGTTTGTTTTCCAAACAAAATATTTGTATTCATTTTAAGTGAATGATGCTTAGTTAACCCCCTTCAGTCTCTAGATTATGGTGAAGCCAATCTGTAGCCCTGTGTAAGGAACCTGCTCTTTTGAATGTGATGGGATTTGAAAAAGACTGCAGCCTCCAGCGTTCCTCTTGGCAAGCTTCAGGAATGAATAAGAGATTGAGGTTTAATCTCTGAGGCACTTGATTAAGTGATGAATTATAGGTTTTCATACCCAGTTTGAAGACCAGCTGTCTGGCACCGTGGTATCTAACTTGTATAAAATCAGGTCCTGCATCATATCGAATCTTTACGTATACAGTTAGCTTCAGCTTCAGTGAACTGCTGAAGTGCATATAGAGTTAATTGTTGATAAAAAAATACATATGTTTACTTACTTCCTGAGGTGGGGACAGAGCACCTTGTCACTATACCATACTATGTGCCCTTTATGTAGTTTTATGAATACCTATGATTGTATGTTTGTATGTATACACACACAAATATATAAATATATATATGTGAAACACCCTACTCTGTGGAAATCAATGGCCACGTTCCCTTCAGCTACAATAGACTGATGGTCTGAATCTATGTGAACTTTACTGCATCTTTTTGAATGGTTTTCAGCTGTAAGCAAAATATATTATACAGCTTTTTAATTTACTAGATTGGTTTTCTTTTTTAAGGAAGGTAATGAATTTTTCTAGGATGAAATATATTATTTGGTAAAGAGTACTAATGGAAATTAGACTAAATGTTCTAGTAACAGCCTGACAAATTCAGTCAGAAATTAATCCAACGTGAATTAGTTCAAAGAAGCTGGAACATAACTCTCACAATAATAATGATTTTATATTGTGTGCTTTTATATGAGATTTAATCACTAAATAAAAATTCACAAATAAAAAGCATTTTAATAAATGCTTTCTGTCTTGGGAAATAGATGGCCCCTGAAACACCTTGGATTTCTTGATTCAGGATTTTGTAGATGTGGTTAACCTAAAATATGTATGTGTTGAATGCCAGAGGAAGAATCGGGAATCAGCTCCCGATTCCATCAGCTTCCAGTCTCTTCCTTTGATTATTTTTTTTGTTTTATTTTTGTTGTTCATTTTAGGCAAGTTTTCTTATGCCACTTTCTGCATCTCTAAGATAGGAATAGTAAATTCCTTCCCTTTGAAAAAAACATTTTGAAACATGTAAGTAAATGTGCTATGTAAGAACTTTGGATTATTATGGTAATTTAAGAGATAATGAATGTCATCGTACAAAGTAACTCAGAAAGTATTACATGGAATACTAAATGTTTTTTAATTTATTGAGTTTGAATTGCTGTTCCGTTTCCAAGTTGAGACTGATGCTTTGTTTGAAACTTCTTTTGAAATCATTTCCACCCATTTAAGCAGTTTTGACTTTGCTGCAGACATGGCACAGTAGTTGCATTATAGTGAGTTAGACTGCTTGTCAAATATAAAACCTAGATTTTCATTTCCTTACATCTTGCTGCTAATGCTGTTCAACTATCCATCAGTTAGATGATCTCCTGTCACACAAATGGCAGTTGACACGTCTGCCAATCAGTTCTTTTCCTACAAATTTCCAAGTTTAAGAAATCAGATTCAATTTCAGGCACTATTTTAAGAGAATTAACTCCTTCATGAAATACAAAAAAGCAAATCTGTTGTTTTGTACAGTTCCCATTTTCACTGCTTGTATAAGAATTCTGAGAAACACAGCTGAGCTGTAACATCACGTACCCTTGTGAACATCAGACTTTTCCCATGAACATGTAAAAAAGATTTGACGATGTGCTACATTTCAGTGCTTACTCCACCTCCTGCATAATGCACCTACCTGCAGAAATATCTCCTCTGCTACTTTCTCCTTACACTGGTCCAATTAGAGCCAATAAATAGATGTGTATGCAGTCCCAGTTGCAGTATTTAGAACAAAATGAAAACCTTGTATTGGTTCTGAAATCCTCAGATTAATTGCACTCTAAAATAAATTTTCAGATGTTCTCAAACATTTCATAATTCTGAAGGGAAACATTCTGTTAGCATGCTTTTGCCTGTCTTCCAATGATAGCTATAACTTAATCTGATTTAGGTTTAACACATTTGGTAAGTGGAAGAAAGACTAGCTCAATGCTTATACTTAAATGAAGACAAACAAGAGGTTATATCATCATTTTTCATTAAGAACATCTACAGTTAAACCTTTTGCATATGGATTTAATGTTGAAATCCCTAGTGAGTGTAATAAATAAGGTTTAGTCACATTAAGGTGAACTGTTCTCAAAAAAAAAAAATCTAGCTCAATCTCTGTAAAAAGCATTGTTATATTTTAAAACAGAAGAAATGTAAGATATTCAGAGATTTTATATCTGCTGTTAAAAGAAGCAATACAATTATTTATAATCACAGTTTTGTTCATTAAAGCGTCCATCAAAAGCTAAAGAAGAATATTTAATCCTGCAGTAGTCAGACTGGCAAGTTTATCTGCTGTTAGTGCACTGGATTCATAATATGTACTATGGCATTTTGATTATGTTCTTTTATCCAAAGATTACTGAAACCTTTTCTAGGACTTAAGGGGAAGAAAGAGGAAGGTTTAACATCATCAGGTGGATCTGCAGTATCTAGTTGAAGAACAGAGAAAATACATCAAAAATTTTAAATTATTGCTTAACAAAGAACACTGAAAGACCTGATAAAAGAAGTAGAAGATGCAATTTTGATTATGTTTCAAGAAACATTGCTATCACTTTATGATGCAAACTCTTCTTATAATGTAGCAAAAATATTCTCTTCAGAAATAGTGTCCAATTCAACAGGAACTTAACTCTTTTGGTCTTCTTGTTTTTTATTGCTTGTAGGGGTAAGAAGATTGGACATGACATAGATTTTTTGATCACTAATCCAGGACCAGGAGAAGATGATGAACTTCTGCATAAAGTTGTAGACTTACTGAAAAAGCAGGTATGAACTAAATAACATTTGGCCAAAGAAGACATATTCTAACAGCACTGAGTTAAGCTTATGTGGTGTTTGAAGAATGTTGATCCTTTTTACAGATGATTGCAATATTTTGAAATGGAATATTACTCTATTTGGTTATTATTCATGATGATTTAGATGCATCCTCCAGCTCTGAATGCTAAAGTTGAAGATAATACCAGAAATACTCTACACACATTCTATTGTATCTTATCCTAAGAATATGCAGCTAGTCAGACGTAAGAAATCAAGCTAGGTGGACTTTTGAGTGACACAGCAAAACTGTTCTTACAGTTTGAAATGAAATTGTATTAGTTTAATTTCTCCTTGAGATGGGAGTAGGTTCTCCCAAGGGGAACTACTTCAGGAAGATTCAGCTTTAAGCATACTGGATTTGGATGAACTAATGGTGTGAGATGAGCAAGTCTGAAAACTTAGGTACCAAAGCCCTGGAATTCTGGCTTCCTTTCAGACCATAGATTAGCATTTTCCCTGGCTTCCATTGGAATATTGTCAAAATTGTCAGTCTTCCATGATATCTGGGTTTGGAAGAGTTCACGCATTTCATAGAAAAATTGTTTATCTAAGGTTGTGTCCTGGTTCGGGCGTGCCTGTAGTCCCAGCTACTCGGGAGGCTGAGCCCTCCGGATTGCCTGAGCCCAGGAGTTCTGGGCTGCAGTGTGCTATGCCAAGCAGGCATCCACGCTAAAGCCAGCATCAATATGGTGAGCCTCGGGGAGCCAGGGCCCACCACGCTGTCTAAGGAGTGTGGGTGAGCAACTGTGTGGTGTTTAGCTGCTGACCAGGCTCAAACGATGACAGGTTGGGAGGTTTTGTTAGTTTTTTGCTGTTGTTGTTGTTTGTTTTGTTTTGGTTGGTTGGTTGGTTGTTTTTGGTTTTGGGGTTTGCTTTTTGTTTGTTTGTTGTTTTTTTTTTTTTGTTTTGTTTTGTTTTGTTTTGTTTTTTTTTTCCCCTCTATTCAGCTTTCTTTAGTTTCAAGCAGCTTTAAAGCTGGAAGAGTGAATTACAACAGGTGCAGGAGGTACCTCAAAATATTCCTGGGTCAGAAATATAGTGTGTTTGGAATAAGATTTTGTTCTACTTTTCTAGACAGCTAAGATATTTTTCAACATTTACTACCTGTACTGTTCAAAGGAGTTGAGTACATTTCAACAAGTAAAAGGCCAGCTCTCTGAGGTGAATTGCCAAATGCCCCATGGCTAGATAAAGTCAGCTTTCAGTGCAGATAGCCTGGTGAGAATGTTTTTGAATTGATTCTTCAACTATGTACTTTAATTAACGTATAAAGGGTTAAAATGTGAAAGACATTAAAGACATCCAACCAGATGAAAGCTTATCTGACTGCATAAAGTTATCTGTTTCAAGATGGTCAAAACCTTTCAACTGGCTTTAATGGAAGGGCTTCAAACTTGTTATTTCCTGGTAAAATACCACCTTAGCTGAATTCCTCTTCCTTCAGTTGACTTTTGGTCTTTGAAATTTTAACAGATTGCTATTAATTTTTTAGATATCTGTGACTTCCATCCTAATTCTGTATGGAAAGTTTATGTATTGAAATAGATTGCCTACAGGTATAAATTATCATACTCCAGTGAAAAGCATCAAAGCTGTGGCAATTAATGAGTGCTGAGAAGCCACACTATTTTTATCTTTTTATTATTTATGTAAAGTTTCTTTCTCAGTCATTCTACTCCCTTTATTCTGAGAAAAGTTGCATTTCTTCTCAGAAGCTCTCCTTTTACCTTCTTAAGAGAACTCGAACCTCTAGGAAACCATGTGTGGGTCCTCCAAAAATCATGTTTATTATCATACAGCAGAAAGGAAAAGTAACAACAGGCTGAGGCCAGAGTCTACCTCGAGTGCAGACTTTCATTCCTTCTCCCATTCCATCACACTTCACATACATTAATTAGAACAATGGCTGTGATCTGAGAAGTCTGGCAACTGCTGAAGCTTTTCAGGTAATTCTGAGCTGCTTTCATTAAATGGAATTGAAAGGAAAGAAATAGAAAATAAATTGTTCTCGCCGCTTTTTTTTTAAGGATAAAAATTTGGCAGAAGTGAATGCAGTAAGAGTATGGGAGGTCAAGGGTGGACAAAGATTTGATGAAAAAATTAAGATTCTTCTAGGAATCCCAAGATGAAGAAACTTTCAGAAGGGGAGATGCATAGTGGCTGTAGAAATCACACCCAATCAAGCCAGGGATTGTTTAAAACTATGGAGAAGTATTTTTTGTGTTCTGTTTGTCCTCCAGAATTTTTATGGCTTATACTACTCACTATACCACCTCTCTACTGTAGCAGTTGTAATATATAGGCTTTTACTGGCACAACTGAAAAATAAGCTTCCAGCAAAATCAAAATGCAAAAAAAGAAAGAGAGGAATTATACTCCTTTGCCTTTTTATTACCTTTGATTTCTAAGGGGGAGGGGAAGACACACAAAAAAACCCAAACCTAAAACACTTTCATACTTTTTGACAGTACATCAGTCATCTATTTCACAGCTTTCCACTTTTGTGCTACTGCTTCAAAGCCCAAATTCATCAAAGTACATCACTGAGGTCATGATGTTGACTTTCTTTCGGCAGCTCTTAGCAAAGGATTCTGCAATATTTAGCTTCTAAACTAGGGACCTCAGTCTTATTTAAATAGTTTAAAAGGGACTTTTTCTTAGCTGAAAAGTTTAACCTAACAAGGTTCTTCCACTGAAAGATGTTGAAATCTAAGTGGTTAAATCAACACCATCATGCTCTATGATGGAGCACCACCAGGGATAAATGGGCTGAGGAACAGAGAATACAAAGTCTCCATTGAGCTTCAAAGTAGAGTGGCAAAACAGAAAAGCTGCAATGCAGTAACAGCGTATGGTTTTAATGGTTCAAAAAAGCTTCATAAAGAAAGTAAGAAATTCTTCTGTAGGTTAGAGCTTGGAAATATATGGGCAAATAGGCTGAGCCATCTGTGTTGATGCAGCTTCATTCACATACTGTGTAAAGACATTTTCATTTTTTTGCTAAAAATCTATATAGCTATATTTAACACTGTTCCTGTTATTACATATGTACTTTCAACAGAGAAAGAGATACTGTTACTACAGGCATTCTTGCACTCTTCATTTTTTCCCTTTGTATTCAATGTTGCATTTTTCTTTTGGCTTTTAGAAAAATGAGGAGTGTAGATGCCTGCCTGTGGTTACTTATTTTAGTATCTTAGTGGTTTGTTTTAGAATCTATTATTCACCCTTGCTGAGGTGAACAGGTCAGGATGGGTAAGGCTTGATGTCCGATTAAGGTGGATGGTGAGGAACAAGTAACTGGTGTCACTTTTTCATTGCTGGAAACAATTTTTTGTAAACAGGGTTCACAGAACAGCAGCACATTCATTATTGAGTGGCAGCTGGATTTTACCAGCAGCAAATCCTGTTTCTAAGACAAGATATATAAATGGTTAAGAGGCCAAACAAAGCTGAATTTTTTTTTCAGATGAACGCTCTACTGCTGGGGCCAGAGTATTAACAGTAAGAAATGTATACCAGAAGATATGAAGGACACACTGTCCTTGAAACAGGGAAGTTGGTTAAAGTTATGAAAAACAGGATGCTGAACAGGGATGTGCTTACCGCAAAAATGCTGAAGTATTGCAAAGTATGCAAAACTTGTTATCCAATCAGAATGTATGTTATGCTTGTGTTTGTCGCGTGAACAGTAGTGATAAGCCAATGAGCTTGCTTGACAAGGCGCGTGATTGCATGTACGGAACATTAGGACATTATAAAAAGAGAACATATCACGGAATAAACCGAAGCTTATTTACTCATCATATTGATGTGTCTTGCTTCCCCGTCTTCGGCCGCGGCACTCTACAAAGCTCCTTTGTGAACACATATTGTCTCACCTTTTAACTCAATGCATTATGAATTTTTTGTTGCGTTATGGCTCAGCTTCAGCAGGAGATGAGGATATTCTTACCTAAAATTGACTGTTGCATGGAGGTTAGAGCACTGGACATGAGAGATCTTGACTTAAATCACTTTAGACAGAGGATGGGGTTTAATCTGATTGTCCTGCTTGCAATGTTATTGCACAAACTAAGCAGAAGTATTTAATTTCTTGCTATGTTTTAAGTGAAGATCTAGTCAGCAGTGACATTTCTTATGACATCTGATCTTTCTGGTGTGCATTGTATATCTGTATGTGGGTAAGTATGTGTATATATATGTCTCTATCTATCTACCTACCTACCTATCAATCATTTGATATATCTTGCTCACCAGTGCAAATGCTCATGGCATAGAGGAAAACGTCTTAATTCCTGGACTCCAGTGCTGGTCTGTCCATTGCTGTCAAAACCAGGCTATTCAGGACATGCCCATAATTAGACCATTCCGATGTACAGGGAACTTCAAGATGAAAAAGGGATCAAGTCAGCTGTGTGGTTATGCAGCAGCTGCAAAGTTTTGTATTGCTAATCCAGCCTTTGATGCCATTTGCTACCGATTTCTCACCCTAGCAAGCCTGACTGCTCCCGGGCATCAGTTCCTTGAGTTGTTCCACTTTATAGAATTCCATCTGTCTAACCTAGGTAGAGTTTTTTTCTGAACTAACATGCCTGCATCCTATTTTGGATTACCAGTAGGTATTTCACTGGAAAAAGAATCCAGTTTCACTTTATTAAACCATCTCAGAAGGATATTAAGAGTAACAACATATATACATTTCAAAAGAGCATACTGTATTACATTTTTAGGTGGCATAAAATGGTCTTACTTTGCTTTAACAGAATTAATCCACCTGCCAACATTTATGAATAATGACAACTTGTAACATTAAAAATAGGGTAGGATTTCATTTAATTAAAAATGACAAAGAATTCTAATGAGCATATTTTGATTGATTTTTCAGCTATTGATTACATATTTTTTCTAAAAATTCACAATTTTCCTCAGTTTGATTATGGATTTACTCCAATAACAATGCTATTGATATGTTAACACTCAGTTTATTTAAGTAAAAGTGCATAATCTTTCTAAAAAGGGAAAATTTTTGTATTAACGTAACTGCCCTAAAAAAATAAATTTAGTTTTGATGGTGTTGTAAATTTAAGAAATTAAAATGCCCACATTTTAAAACTTGATTGAGTAAACAAGGTCTACAGCAGTTTATGGTGTATAGATCAAGATGAAATTTGCAAAGAACTGCAGATTCCTTGACACAGAGTAATGAGAAGGCTGCTGTTTTGCAGCTAGCAGTAGCCAGAGCGTCACACAATCTTCATAGCTGACTGCCCCTTCGGGCAATACTTTTTCAAAATGTATAGAACTGCCATTTCAGCTTTACTTTATGGGGTGATGTTGATGTACAGTGCATAATCTAATTACGTTAATTGGAAACGTTATCCCAATGAATATGATCTAGGCTTTGGCTCCTATTTAAAGGTGATATCCTGGCTTTGAATCAGGCTTCAACTGCTTGTTGAACTCAGCACTTGTGTAATTGTTGCCTAATTGCATTTTTTTTAAGTGAAGTAGGTATTTACAGTGGTCTACATCCTCTCATGCTTTTCCTGTTAGCTTTAGAATTTGCCCAGCCAGCAAACTATGAAGAAAACACTACAGAACCAACCCAAAGAGAGGAAGTCCTAAAATATCTTTCTAGTCACACTTGCTAACTGTGGTCAACTGCAAATACTTAAAATCTATTCAGGTAGAAGACATGTCCTAGTTAGCAAGGGAAAACAGCAATAGGAAGGCTGCAATAATGTTTCATCTCAGGGACTCCAAGGAGTGTTTCCTTGAAGTTCCTAAATATGACAATAGGATGAGGAAAAAAAAAAAAAAAGAGAAGGGACCCATCTTTAAAAGCTGTGGTTTAACAGACAGTATTTGTGATCTTCAAGCAGCTGAGAGGTCTCAAAAGGACCTGTAGTAGGTATCCAGGATGACTTTAGGTAAAGGGAATTTCTTCATTTTCAATGTGGGCAATACAGCAAACTTTGACGTGTTAAGTTTACCCTGTTTTCATTTACAACTATATATTCCTGTAATGAGTAGCAAGCTGGAAAAAATTACTCTGAAAACTAAGTAAAGCCAATGCAGAAGAAATCATCTCTAAGATGATCATACAGCTAAGTGTTGGAATGAAAATATTGATGAAGCAGAGGATACAGTATATGACTAAAAGTTAGAAAATAACATCTTAAAAGGCCTGAACATTTTATGTCAAGGCCATTTTATCCGTTACAGACATACAGGTAATACATAATCATATCACCTCAACAGCTTATAGACTAAAAATCCAAGTATGGGATACTGATGGCCATGTGTGACTGTCCCCAGATCTCACTGAGACAAAACACTCCCTAGGTGCTTGTCCACTAGTCTGTGAAGAGAGAAACCACTGCAGGCTGTGCTATCTTGCCAGATTTCTAAAGCATACAGAAAAAAATCCTACTAAGTCTTCCCACCTACAGCAGGAATTCCATTCCTTTTGTAATCCATCTAAAGATGGGCTTTAATTCCTAATTTCTTGCACCAAAATTGAGGAGATTTCAACTTCATTTGAATAAAGAGGGCACAAACACTAACAGAGCCTATGGAAAATGTGCAAAACTGGTGATCTGAACAGAGTGTATACAAACACCGTACAGGTACTGGAAACGTAGGTAATTGGAACTGTAAAATAAGACTTTACCAAAACTTAATCTAATTAAAACTCTGCCTAGAGAAATAAATTATTTAGATTCATTCTAAGATATGCTATATAATGTCCCAAATCTCAAAAAGCAGGAAGGAAAATTAAGCAAAAGATGAGAAAGCACTGATGAAGTAGCTAGAAGATTTTTATAGAGAATGGGAAGAATGTCAGTGCTTAATAAAAGCTTGAAGTTATCAATTACTGGTCAGTGATCAATGAGATTAAAGCATTTCTTAGCATTAAAAGCAACAAAGTTAACCTGAAGGCAGGCAAGATTTCATCAAAAAGAGTGATATAATAAGCAATTTTGCGTTAACATTCAGCAGCTGTTTTGAGTCTATATTTGGAAATAACAAGCATCAGTGCCTTGTGATGTTGGGGTAAAATTAAGAAAAAATTACTCTGTTTTAAAGATGGATGTGAGACAGCACCTGCTAAAATTAAGCATTTTCCAATCAGAAGACTTGAAAACTAGTAATCCAAGAGAATGAGCTATATAAGGAGTTTTCTCATATTAGTTTACAATAAAATCAGAAAAAATTCCAAAGAAGTGAAAGAATGCCAATGCAAGTCAAATGGTTGTCGTTAAGAAGGTTGTCCCAGGGACCCATAAAAAAGCCTGTGACTAATTCCCAGTAAATAATGGGATTGTTAATTTAGAACAATCATCAACAAAAGCCTGGAGGCTGAAAATACAGTAATACCTATCAGTGTCTCTTCATGGAAATATCTTATGCTTTATATTTCTGCTTTTTTTTTTTTTGTCAGAATTATAGCTCTGAGTGATAAAAGTAATTTTATTGCTGTAAACTATTCTGCAAGGTATTTAACATATTATCATGTAAAGTTACCAGACTTGCAGTGTACAAAAGAAATAATCAGAACCTGGTGTTTAATGTGGCGATAGTCTTCCAAAAATCTCTTCATTGTCACCTATGTGCATAAGAGGTCTGATCTGTATACCATTGTAGTTAACCACCAAAAATTGCAAATAAAAACATATCTATACACTCTCAGTTCAATATTTCAATTTAAAAAAAAAAAAAAAAAAAAACAAACCCACAAAACTAATATGATTCTTTACCATATATTAAGGGAACTAAAAGTCAGGAGGCATTCTTGACCATGCTTTTTTATGGTGAGACTAGTATAAGAATTCCTAGCCCAGAGGAAGGAGAATGTGTAAATATTTGAGGGACTTCAAGGGAGAGACAAAAAATTGATTCAAGGATCTAAAGAAATCCTGATGATGGAAATTTTAAGAAACTAAGTCTATTTATCTTATCTATGAGAAATCTGAGAAGTGGGTTTGATCAGGTTGTAAGTTAAAGTAATGTTAAGGGAGATATGAAAAGACATGACAGTTGTAGGCTTGTTGATGCTGAAGATGAGAACTAATGAGCTTATGTAGCCAGAACACGGTTCAGCTTAGTAGCTTTCCTTCTAATAATAACAATTAAACACCTGAGAGACTATGAAGAAAGTGGTTTATGCACTATTGTTGCTAACCTTTATAACAAAGGTAAATTTCTTTTGCAAAGGCAAATCTCAGAAGTCTACTTTCTGTGAAATCAGGAGCTCAGAGGAGGCAGTTACAGTGGTCTCCTATATTTTATGAATCTATAAAAGATAAATTAAGGCCGAGTGTACCAGGATTTAGGCACACATCTAAGTGTTTTCATCATGTGGAACTAGCTTCAGAAAGTGCAGTCTTTTTGCTAGCTGAGCTCTCCTGATAGAGCCAGCTTCAGTGACACTAAGCATTATTGTATTACTACGTATGAAGCTCCATTTCTATTCTGAACACTCACGGGTGACTGAAGGAAGTGGTGTGATGGACAGTGTCTGCTTTATTTCTTTATTACTGTGTATTTGATGTTTTGTATTCTATAAAAAGGATGTGCTGGGCAGCAGAGAGAGGGAGGCTGCTCCTTGTCTCATCCCAGGTGCTGTGCTTTGTGTGGTGAGAGGGTTTCTGGCTGTTGAGAGGATACTGCACTTTACCTGAGGGCAGCTGAAAATGTAGAGCTCTAAGCAGCTTTGTCAGTGCAGGGTAATTCTTAGATGTCCAGGAAATCAGTAGCCTCAGAAGCTGCCCAGAAATGCAAAGAACAGGCACAAAGACAGGCCTGAGGAATGACAGAAAGATGCTTTTCCTAAGAGACTATACAGGATAGTGTAGAGTTTACTGCAACCCCCAGAGCCACTGAAAGGTTGCTGGCTACAGAGAAAGGCTGGAAGAAATCACTACCTCTTTCCACACAGCCCTTCCTACAGTGCTGGATTAGAAGGAATTAATTTATGAGACTCTATTACTTCAATTTTTCTCACTCTGAATGTTCTTTTATTATAAAACGAAAATCTTTTTTATGCTTTAATAAAATCTAGCTCTTGAGGATCAGTAGTTTTTTGGTGCACTCCTTTCAAACAGAAGGCATGGGCAGGGCCATTCCACATCTCTGGAGACTCCAAACTTTGTCACAAGGAAATCTCACACAACAGACACAGTCCAAATGCTCTATTTGGAATCTGTCAGCAAGACTGTGCTCTGCACTAATCTGTTTTTCTAGATGTCTGCCACATGTGAAAACATCAATTTCTGTTGATATCAACTACAAAAGGCTTAGGAGGAAAGGATAGAGGGGAAGAATTGCAAATATTGTCTCTTTAGTACAGGGCAGGACATAGCCCCTATCAGATGACTACCACTGCATATTTCCCTCAAAGAATCTTCTAGTATTTTCCTAAAAGTTGAAGCTGTTTCTTTTATCTGCTTGGCCCAGATTTGGCCTGACACGGTTCTGTGTTTTCTGAAACTGAATTTTACATTAATTTTTTAAAACAACTGTCCAGAATCTCTGGAATTACAGTAAAGCCAGTCCAGCAATTCAATGTGAGCAATATCTTCTCTTTAGGGCTTACTCCTGTATTGTGATATCATTGAATCAACATTTGTAAAAGAACAGCTACCAAGCAGAAAAGTTGATGCCATGGATCATTTTCAGAAGTGTTTTGCAATTTTTAAATTGTATCAGTCAAGAATAAACAACAGCAGTTACAACACGTCAAAAAACTTCGATATGGCAGAAGTCAAAGACTGGAAGGCAATTCGTGTAGATCTGGTCATAACCCCCTTTGAGCAATATGCATATGCTCTGTTGGGCTGGACAGGCTCCAGGGTAAGTAACCACAACAGTCTATGTTTTCTTAGCATTGGTAACCTGGTTTTGCTGTTGCAGAACCATTGAAGGTTCATTGATTATTAAAAAATGTTTCTTTTCTCCATACATTGAATTTCATGCTGTCATCAACTCAACCGATGATTCTAAGTTGGAACTGACAAACTCATCACTGACATTTATGGATGTCTCCCTAGAGGATTTAACATCTATTTTCCTAGAAACTTAGTGTTTAGGTTCATGGACTGAAGAACTAGATTTTCAGTCACTTGCATTGTCTTTTTGCATCATACTAGTGTTAACAAGCAATTTAAATGGTTACTGAGTAGAGAGATGATTTGGAAAGTGTCACAGAATTTTACAGGAAATTAAACATTTGAGAAAGAGATGTTCTGAATTGGAACTTAAATTGTTTTGTAGGAAATTGTAAATAATTTGACAACTTTCTTTTTGGATTAGATAAAATATTTTGTTTCAGTTGTATTTTAATTGAGTGTTTTAAATTGTAAAAAATTGGAAAATTTAACAATTTACACATTAGTTTTGAACTAGAATAAAATTTGTTTTGATTGATATTTTAAGAAGTTAAGAAAGCTTGAAATGACAACTACTTTCACAATAGACACTGTAGTCAGTGTCTATAATATAAAATAGTACAGTATTTTCAAAATAAAAAATTCTATCTAAATGCAAACTCAAAACTGAAATGACTAATTTCTCTCCAGACAGACTTATTTTTCAGTCTGTTCTACATGTTTGCCTTCTGATGTTCATTTTCTTAAGGAGTGATTACATGGTATAATGGAAAGCTGCTGAGCCTACTCTGAATGATCTTTTTGATGTGCTAGAAGCAGTACAGGTGCATTGCCACTCTGTTCTACTTAGATTAATTGGAAGCAAGATGTTTTAGACCAGGCAAAATTTTGCAATTGATGTGTTCTCCTGCTGAGCTGATGAGTTATTTCAGTCACTTTTCTTTTTTGAGATAATAAATTGTATTTATTTGGACCTTGGATTAAGTTCTGCAGACTTTGGGGTCCTTCTTATCCTGGAAGTGTTTGGCTACTTAAAGGCCCTCTTCTCGACTCTGTAGGTGGGTGTCTACACTAAGAATGCACTTTGTGAGGCCTGTTCAGTGAGTATGCAATGACTCCATCTTTCTATATCTCACTCAGCTCCTACTCCCTGTTGAGATAATTCATTTACAGACTGTGGGAGTCCATCACAGGCTATATATAACCTTACTTTCTCATACAGTGCCCAGCTATTCTCAGACTAACCAACTGAAATGATGGACCGTAGTCTATCAAAATGTTGCCCTTTCAGATGATCCACTTTTTTCAGCAAATTGTCTTTTAATAGAGGTAATTTTAACATGTTTGTTTATTGTTTGGTTTGGTGTTGGATCTCTCATACAAAAGAAAACAATTTTGATTTGTCAGAATTTCTCATCATTTCTATATCTTTTGCAGCAATTTGGACGTGATTTGCGGAGGTATGCTACTCATGAAAGGAAGATGATATTGGATAACCATGCCTTATATGACAGGAGAAAGGTACTGATTAACCTCAGAAATAAAGATATCGTGTTTTTATTTCTGAGTATGCATTTTCAGTTCATTTTTGATATTCAAGCACATAGACTATTTTAGCTTATTTTCCTATTATGTGGTAAAACAATCCCACATTCACAAGATATAGTTTCACTGACAGAGCCTGATTAAATCTTCTTTGTCACTGCTAAGGTAGTTTCTGAAATTTAACAAGATACGTATATTAGACAATGGTGTTTGGTAGGAATTGTGCAACCTTTATGAAACTGAGAAAAACTCACCTGCAAGTATTTGAAAAAAGTATTTTACTGTCCCATTTCAGAATGAAGGGTCATTTCTGTGTCACAGGCACAATTTTAATAGGGATTTTGAAGGAAGAAGGGATATTGAGTGGTACAGGCTCAACTAGAAGGCCTGAGAAAGTTTTTGTAGGGTATGATAGTAAGCAGAGATCAGGGATCGTCCTATTTTTAACGCCCTCCATTCAGAAGTCTGTGTAGAATTCTGTTTAGACAGGCTTGCCAGTCTTGGTAGTAATTGGGAGTATTTCTAGTCTAGATGCTCTTGTCTGCAGTTATACTGATATCTTCATTTATCTGCCTTAATGTCTGTATTTGTATTAGACCATTTTAATAATAAGGAAAAATCAATATTGAAGATGTTTATTGATGTCATTATAGGGGAAGGCAAAAGTACCATGTCAGGATTTTACATTAATCTTTCCTATATATTCTTTCTAGAATGGAGACTGCTTTTAGCATCTCTACTTGCATACAGCATTGTCTCATTTTTTGTTTGTGAGACACAGCAGTGATCTAAGCCCTCACTCAATTTCAGCTGTCTCCATAGGTGCTTGTTAGGCTCAGATGCTATAGCATCCTCAGTTCACATAGAAACCTGGGGAAATGATCAGACTAATGATCCATTTAGTCAAATATCCTGTCTCCAACAATCGTCAATACTAGATGCTTCAGAAGAAAATATAAAATCGCATAATAGATAAATATGCTATCAAATATCTAACAGGGGAAGTTTCTTCATGAACTCAGGGATGATGTCGGTATCTTTCTGCCTGCCTTTTATATTTTGAAAGCATTCAAAACATAAACTCTTTGCCTCAACATAATGTAGCAAATGTTATTATCTGCAAGTTAATATCTGCTCTGTTAAATAGCTTTTTGGGTGTAACAGATAACTGCACTAGGAAAATACAGAGAATTTAAGAAATGTCAGTGTTATTTTTTGTGTGCAGCAAAATTTGCCTGTCTGGTATAGAAATATCTATCATTATATCTGTTGCTTCTAGACAGAACCCTGGGACATTCAGTGATGCAAAATAGACACCGTTCATTCATGAACAGCATCAATCAGTATTATTTTTCTCTATTATGTTTAGGCTTCATATCTGATATACCATTCAAATCCTTTTGGGAAAGAAAACACAAGTTGCCATGTGTATTTCACTGGACCAGCCAGGTTGTTTCACAGATAAATTATGAGTTTATTTTCACAGTGTCCTCTGGGAAGAAAGATGCTCTTGTCTTCCCAAATTTTTAAGTAAATAACTGAAGTAGAGAAAGGTCTAAGGCCCTAAAAATCCACTGATTTGAGGAGGCCCCTGTTTGCAGTGTCTGGCTTGAATTTTCTCCTGTTGAATATCTGCCTCAGGACTTTGAAAAATACATAGAAACGTGTAAATCCATGACATGTTTCTCAAAGCCATCAGCTGTAGCTATAACTGAATCTTCAGACCTTCTACATGTCTGAGTCTCAACTTACATTTCCTCACTGTGCTTCCCAAAACTAAAGAAACAGAATTAGTGAGCGGACTGAGAAGCAAGACTTACAAAATTTTCCTTATTACTTATTATAATGCAGAAATTCTATGATGAGGGCAAGTTAAAAAAAAAAATCCAGACCCTCAGGGCAAATTTCAACTGTCTTGACCATGAAGTCCTTAATCTAGGACATTCATATATCAAATGAAAGACATGAATGGATCAATTGTCCCTTTCAAGGGGGGGACTCTGTTTTCGAATGTCTATTGTTATGACCCTTCCCCCGCCCACAATAATAACCAAGTCTAATTTTTCCATTTAATCCCAGACACAGACAGTTTACTTCCAATTTTTTTTTTTTTTTTTTGCTGCAAAAGACAGACACACTACAGATTTCAAAACAAGAAGTTATATTAATCTGTTGACCCAACAGAATACTGTTCTTGTCTCTGCTGCATTCTCAGAAATAGCTAAATTACATTAGCTGAAATTTTCTACAAAGAAAGGAAATTCTACAGCAGATATGCAATATGAAAAATTTCAGACCAGGCAGCACTGCAGTTATAATCTGCTTAAAACAGTCTTTTATGAAGTAGTGTAATTCTAACAAGAATTAGGGAGACACATCACACATCTCTTCTAAGTATACTACTATTTATAATCTAATGTGTTAAACTATTTTTCTTCCTATTTTTAACTTTAAAATTTTGTATTAAGTTATTCTCATAAAGAACATTTGAACAAAAAGCCTTTCACACTGCCATCCAGTGTATAGTAAAGGCAAGAATATGCATAATACAACAATGGCGTCTGTACCTGTGAAACTTGAGATGATGATCCATAATGGAAGAGAATTTTGCAGTAAGTTGTGTGGCTGTCAATGTGGTATAACTTTAGGGTCATTAGGTTAGTTAGCTTAAAATCACTCATGAAAATAATTAGTATCTTTAGTGCTGTGTCAGGGAACATATACCCAAATAGTGAAATGTTTAGGTTCTTTTTTCTTAATTATGAAGACTACAGAATCTTCTTTACTGTAATTCTAGTGCTTTTATTTAAAAACCATTTGGTTAGGGGGGAACACTAAAAACATGGATACTTTATCTATACCATCTCTTAAATTTAGATTGGAATGTGAACATATGTATTTCATAAGGATATTTTAATTTGTGGTAGGAAAACTTCCTTTCTCAAAGGAAAGCTTTCTTGAAGCTAAAAACAACCAGGATGCAGATATCCCTTGTGCAAGCTGCTCAAGATCCATCAACACATCCTTGATTAAGGTTAATTAGGCACCATAGGTAAAAACTGAATCACATCTTTTCCATATTTCTCTCCTTGTTTGCTGAAGAGAGGTTACCTGATGTCACTGGCTTTGTCCAGGCAGACAGACTTTCATGCACAATTCTGTAACAGTCACTGGGGTATAATTCAGGAGCTGGGCCAAATCCTTTCTTCATTCTTCTTCTTTTATTACTTTGTGTGTGTGTACAGCAAAAAGGATAGAAAGGTCAGGGAGAGTCAAACTAATTTTTGATCCTGATGAAGAATAAATGCTTTCTTTGAAAACACTTGCCTGTCATCATTTAAAATTTTGCAAGTTGGTATAACAAATTAATAGACCATGCTACAGCAAATTTTTGTTTTTTTTTTTTTTTTTGGATGGAACGTAACGGTGCCTGTAAGAGAATGTCTTTCATTATACAAGACAACAGTTTCCTGGTTTACTCTACATTCCAATATATATTTTGGTATACTTTATTCTTCTATATTAATATTTATCAGCCCTCTGGCACTGAAGCTTCCACTGTGGCCCACCACCTGAAATGTGATGTGTGTCAGAGCAGCCAAGGTTCCAGCGTTCAAGGGGTTGTATCAGGAGAAAGTCCTGGATACTTTAATGTATTTCCAAAGGGATTCTGACAGGAATAGGGAGCATTAACACAGCAGTTAGGAATCAATTACATAGCTTTGCAGAGGGGAACAAAAGGAACAGATACTTCCTCCAGAGACTCGTTACAAAGTTACACTGTGAAATCATTCCTCAGTCTTGATTTATTTTTTTTTCTAATGTGAATCTTTTTCAAATATTTGTGGGTTTTGGAAGACAGTGTGCCACTACCAAATTAATGTTTTGAATTCTGTAATAAAAAGGGCATTTTGTAGATCTTCCTTTGGTAGGAAAATTGTGACAACAAAAATTAAAAATTTACTAAAAATTATCTGTCAGCCTCTGGTTCATAAAATGATGAGTGGATATCCAAATCTGTGCCTCTTCAGAATTGCCTCTTAGACCTATGGAAATCAGCACTTGTGTATACCAACTTGAAGCATGAATTTTCTGTGAAATACAGCTGGAAATCAAACCTTACAATGATTGCCACACTTATGGAATGAAAGAGTTCATGGATCAGCCATCAGAAATAGAGATAAATTGCATATTACTCGTGTCTTATAATATTATTATTGCTGTTGCACTGGTTACAAATGGCATGGCACATTTATGAACTGGGCTAATAAAATTCTCACTGTAATACTTTACTGATTCATGAGCGAACAATATGCTTTCTAAGTAAAGTAGAAATGGTTTTGTAAAAGCAAATTTAATTTTCCTGTGTGAACCATGTCAGGTCAGCTGAACAACAGGCTTTTCCTTAGAAAAATTAAGGTCTTTAAGCTGGAAACCATGACATCACTGGTTGTTTTTACACCCCTCTGTGATGGATTTGGGGTCATTTATCCCTTAACCCACTCTAAAGAATTTTTGGTTACAACGCATGTTGTGTCTAGTCTTACTCAGGAGCCAATAAGTGTAAGCACTGACCTCTGTTATGTATTTATGTAACATGGTCATCAGTTCACTGTCTGAACTGAAGTTTTTAGTGTGCATGTATATATACAGTTTGCCACATACTTAGATTTGAAGGACACTTTCTTTGCAATTAAAAAGTTTGTGATGTACTAGGGCAATCATTAGGAAGTTTTGACAACACCTTTTTAACTGGGTAAAATGGAGAGAGATTTAATGAATCTAACTAATGAAGATACAGCTCTAAACCCTGTTTTATTTTTAAACACCTGTCTTTAAGCTGAATAACTATCATCTGCTTGAATGAGAATGCAATAAATGTATGATTTACTTTCACTTTAATGTTTTATTATTTTTTAAAATGTCTGGCAAACCACAGGCATTATAATCTTAAAGGAGTAGCTGTCCTTAAGTAT